AAGGGTTAAAAAAGGTCGACCCTAAAAATGTCACACCTCATGGATTTCCGTCTCCGTCGGTAAGGGTGCCCACTAAGGGTTTTCAACAGCGGAGCTAACACTCAAAAAACCTTTGATAAAACGGCCGTGCGTGACCGGCTTCAAGCAGTTGTCCCTTGGGCTCTGCGATCACGCTCTCAAGTCTCTAAGACCAACTCTAACCTACCTTCCATTTCAGCTTCCTCAAGAAACAACCTTCCACGGTGTGGGCATACGGGAAGTGACAACCGCCCTCATACCCGTAACAGCACACGAGACCAAATTGGTCGAAATCAAATCCTTCCTACACCCACACATACTTCTCTTCTCTCCACAACTAACTCTACTCACATTCCCTTATCTGACTGCACCGCTAATGCAAACGAAGCGAGTTCACGAAACGTCACTCCTGGTCTCTTGAAACCCCGTTCTAGACTACATGTTGGAGCATTTAATGTACGGACATTGTGTCAAATAAAGCAACAGGCTTCGTCAGCTAGGACTTTAGAATCTCGTGCCATCGATATATGCTGCGTCTCGGAAACGCGCATACAGGATCCTAGTAAAATCATTAATTTGATTTCACCTTACCAAAACAAAGAAGCAGCTCGATTTACTTTTCGTGTATTCGGTAGCCCTGATGCTGCTTCTAGGGGTCTCGCTGGTGTAGGTATAGCATTGAGTCGTAGGGCAGAACTATCTCTCCTTGACTGGATCCCTGTTGATAGTCGCTCATGAGCCGCCCGACTAAACGGGACAGTAAGTACTCGGAAGGATAGGGACACTCGTCGTTGCCTCTTTGTCGTATCTGCCTACGCCCCCAGTGACTGCAGTTCAGACGAGGTGAAAGATGAGTTTTACAGAAAGCTTTCGGACCTTCTCCAAAAAGCTAGGCGCTGTGATGTAGTATTAATGGCTGGTGACTTTAATGCTCAAGTAGGTAGACTAAGTGAGCAGGAAAGATACCTAGGTAGATGTTATGGTGTCGCGGCTCAGAGAACAGACAATGGCGACCGTCTGTTGCAAGTATGCTCAGATAACCAACTATTTCTAGCAAACACTAACTTTAGGCATAAGGAAAAACATCTGTTGACCTGGCGATCCCCCGAAGTCATCTCAACGTTGGACCCAACAAGATCACATTGCCATCAGCCAGCGATGAAGGGGTTCGATAGAGGACTGTCGCTCGTTCTGGGGAACATGTTTATATTCAGATCATGCCCTACTGCGAGCTCGTATATGTTTGAGGCTTACTTGACGTAGGAAAGACACCGTAAGGAAGCCACTTAGGGTTTTACTTAATGATAATAAAGCTAGGAATATATTTCATGAGCAACTAGAAAGAGGGTTAGCCAACCATGTAATCGATTCCCATCCGGAAGCAGGTTGGAATGATATGAGAAAGGCTGTGGGAACAGCAGTGATATCAGCTAGTAAGGTTGACCATAAGGCTAGAATGAAGGCGTGGATCTCAGCAGCATCCACCGAACTGGTGGATGCTCGAAAACTCATCCCACGTGGCTGTGAACATGATGAAGAACGAAGTCAACTTAAGCGAAGGCTGATAAAATGCCTACACAATGATCGCGAACAGTGGGGAGTGGCAAAATTAAGAGCGATGGAAAAGGCAGAGGCGGTAGGCAGCAGTAGACAACTATGTAGACTCATCAAGGGAATTGTTATTAGGAACCCAAATGTGAGTAAGACTGTTTCGGAAAAGGATGGGATTATTATCCATTCTCAATCCAGGAGACTAGACCGATGGGCAGAACACTTTAGGGATCAGTTCAACTGGCCTTCAGCCACTCTTCAGTTGCTCACAATCTCCAATCATCCAGAATAGCAAATCGACGTAAGTCCCCTTAGTCTTTATGAAGTTGAGAAAGAGTTGGTAAATCTGAAGCGAGGGCGAGCTGCAGGTCCTGATAGACTGACCCCTGAGATATTTCAGGATGGTGGTCCAGTTTTAGCAGCTAGGTTGACTGAGATCTTAGGTACAATTTGGGAACTGGACATAATCCCATCCGACTGATCTTAATCGCTGATTGTCTCAATTTATAATAAAGGACACAAGTCTTGTGACAATCACAGAGGAATAAGTCTAACTAACAAATCCATAAAGTCACTGACAAGTGGACTGAATCATGCTGGTAGATTTATGCTATCTGGTTGGGGTCAGCGAGACGAAAGTCACGGATGGTTAGAGACCTTGAGCCACATGGCTCAGAATCGTTTGCAATGGCGCAGGTGCATTCATTCTTTGTGTTCTCTTAAATTCTAACCTTCTGAAATCCTCATAATCTCTATCTTTCGCCTTCCAAATTTATCTTACTGACTTATACTTTTCAAATCATATCTTCGCTCTTTAATCTTCTCTGCTAGTACTTCTACTATCGCTATCACTCTTGGATTTGAACTGACAGTTGCGTCTCTGTGCTGATGTGGTATGGCAACTTAAACTGATGTACTTATGTACGAAGTTCTGCGTTGTATCTGTCTGTCTGTGTGACCGAAACCGCATTAGCACAGAGAGATAGAAGTGTCGTGCTAAATTACAGTGTAGATGTACTAGTAACTGTGTCTTTTAGTAGGGAGATCGAAGATACGATTCAAAAAAAAGATAAATCCGGAAACTAAAAAAAAAACTACGAGGAATTCATAAGCTTAGAATTCTAAAGAAAAACAAAGAAAATGGATGCACGTGCGTCATTGCAAACGATTTTTAGCCATGTCAGGCAAAATCTGTTATCACCTGCTAAGAAAATTAAACAACTTATTCTGTTCAGTCAACAAAATATCATCTGCTTTTTATGATTACAAAATAGAACACGACAATTATAAAGTAACAAATCATTTTACAAATGTAACTAGCCTACACAAAAATGAGTGTTACTTTATCTGGTGAACAACTGTTATCATATTAATTATCCACACCCTTCATACTTTTATAACAGTTATTATTAATCAGAATAAGTTTAACTAATATAGTTTCTAAATTGTTAGCCTCGATTATACTTAGACGTCTAACTAGAGCTCGTGAAGAGCAGACTAGAGAAAACCAGTCTGGTTTTCGACCTGGACGTGGTTGTATAGACCACATCTTCAGATTACAAGTCATGGAACACAGACACACATTTAAACGTCCGACAATAGTCGTGTTCCTGGACCTTAAGGCGGCATTCGACTCAGTGGATCGTGAGGTTCTGTGGCAGTGTCTGTCATTGAAAGGTGTACCAAAGAAGTACATTAACCTTATACAAGCACTCTACTCGAACACCACTGGTCGGGTGAGAGCATATGGCGAACTGTCATCTGAATTCTCTACATCAAGTGGTGTCCGTCAGGGCTGTCCACTCTCTCCATTCTTGTTTAACTTGGTCGTAGACATCCTTTAGAGTTAACATTAAGCTCGTCAGATTTTTCAGGGGTTGACCTTCTACCAGGAAAGTCGCTTACTGATCTAGAATATGCCGATGACATGGTTCTATTCGGTGAAGATGCTGACAAAATGCAGTCTTCTGACTACCCTAAGCAACAATTCAACCATGTTCGGGATGCGGTTTTCCCCCTCGAAATGCAAAATGTTGTTTCAAGACTGGGTTGCATCGGCACCTGAACTAGTGATAGGGAGTGAAGTAGTCGAGCGTGTTGATCACTTCACTTATCTGGGGAGTCTCATCAGTGCTGACGGTCTGGTGACTGACGAAATCTCCGCTCGGATCCAGAAAGCTCGATTGGCTTTTGCCAACCTGCGTCACTTATGGCGTAGGCGTGATATCCGTTCGCTAACCAAAGGGCGGGTGTACTGCGCAGCAGTTCGTTCCGTTCTCTTATATGGCTGTGAAACATGGCCGTTAAGAGTAGATGTTCGTAGGTTACTAGTATTCGATCATAGATGTTTAAGAAGCATTGCTCGTATATCGTGGGACAGCCGAGTAAGCAATGCTGTCGTTAGGAAACGAGTACTAGGTAAGGATGGCAGATCAATAGATGAAGTGGTGAAACTTCATCAGTTGAGGTGGTTGGGACATGTGTTACGTATGCCTAACCACCGACTGCCTCGACGAGCTATGTTTTGTGGTGTAGGAGTAGGTTGGAAGAAAGTTAGGGGCGGCCAGACCAAAACATGGCACAAATCCATGAAGTCACTGACAAGTGGACTGAGTCATGTTGGTAGATGTAGACTACCTGGTTGGGGTCCGCGAGACGAAAGTCATCAATGGTTAGAGACCTTGAACGACATGGCTCAAAATCGTTTGCAGTGGCGCAGGTGCATCCACTCTTTGAGCTCTCTCAAATCCTAATCTTCCGGATTAGCCAGCACCTCTACCTTTGTCTTTCTAACCTTATCTCACTGAATTATATTTTTTGAATAATATCTTAAACCCTAGTCTTCTTTATTATAACATTAATACCTCTACTATCTTTATCACTATGGGATTTGATTTGACATTTGCGTCTCTGTGCTAATAATGTGGTATGGCAACATGAACTTATGTACATACGTACGAAGTTCTACGTTGTAACTGACTGACTATTATTAATCAAATAACAATGTATGCGCTTATGATTATATTCCGACTGCATTAGACAATTTCCAGTTATCCACATAACTTATTATTCCCCACTAACCAACACAGAATGTAACTTCAATTAGGCTAAATATCCATCCTTATGTATTTGGAAAATTGCAAAAGCACAATGGAACATATTGAATATCACAGTGTTATGTGCGTGCGTGCGTGCATGCATGCATGTATCATGTTGTTGTGAGGAAACGCCGGTACAATATGCAGTTAGTTATAGAGTAGCATTAGTTAAGAAACAAACAAAAAAAAGTGAAATCAACTACACACCTGTACAAAAGCTTACAATAGTTTAGTGAGTTTGTCATTATATATTATTACTGTTTGGTTTAAAAAAAAAAAATCATTTTCTAGTTAACATCACTGTCAGAGCGTTAAAATATGAATTTGATGAAATTAACGATGCGCTAGTTTATTGGTAACTAATACACTGATATTTGATGGTGGTTTATTAGTGACGAGAACTTTTTGTTGATGTATGAAACCAACATCCGATAGTGATGGATGTTGTCCTGACGGAGATGATCCATGGAAGAAGGCAATCTATCAAGAAAACAAATAAGGCAAGTGAAAGTATCTTATTCAGTATATGATTAAGTTAATAATTAATTATTTATTGCTATAAGCAGTTAAAAAATGGTTAAGGATTGAAACATAAGCAACCTGTTAAGAATAAGATGAGAATTATCACGAATTAACCACGACTTTAATAATAGGCGGTTGTGGCTTCACAACGCCAGGAAGTGAATGTTAACACTTAAAGGTAATTTTGTCAGTCAGTTGTAATCAATGTAGACTCTGATATAAACATGAGTTAGCTCAAGTTGCCAGATCATAAATAATACAACAATGACAAGACTAATAGTAAAGAAATTGAAACAGTGTAGTAACAATGATATTGAAAATATGAGTCCTCCTAATAACCGGGTAAACATGTATGCTTGAAGAAATACCGGAACTTGAAATGTAGATGAAAATAAAGGGCGAATGGACTTACGTCATCGTTACCTACTCTGAGCAATGTCACCGACAAAGAAAGATCTAGGATTTCTTCAACCGCAGCTTATTCTTTAATCTGACTGTCGAGCTTGCATTTAATGGTGGCCCAATCGATCTGCGTTCTCTAGAACACCTGTTCCATTAAAGCCTTAGTATACCAACCAAGTTCACTGGAGAAAGGTCAAATTAAGAGCACCAAACTTAAGGTCGTAGAGTAAAGGTTGTACTGCTGATTGTGTGAAAGCTTGACAGAGGTAAAGTGTACTTCAACAAACAACCAGCAATTGCACTTGCGTTACAATCCCAGAGTGGAAGAAAAGGGTCGAAGAATTTCAACAGCGCTTCACTGGAGTTACACCAAAGTGATTTAAACTAATAACCAAGTAGTAGAAAGCGGAGAACTTTAACCACTAATCAATCATTTTAGACTGAATGCGAACTTTTTAACGTGTAGTTTAAGTATGCGTGTTTGTGTTTACAATGCGTTAAATAATAAATGATGATATAGTAGCTGAAAAAAGAACTTTGATAGTAGCAAACAGTGTACAATTGTGTTTGCAATGAAAATTCATACTTTTGATATCATGCAAATTAATTATTTTAAACATAGTAACATAAAGTCTGACAACTTACCATTAAAGCTAATGAAAAACCAAAATGTACTACAATTAGTATGATTAATATTGGTGTGACAAGCTGAAATTATAAGAGAAAATACAAAGAGATTGTTGTTAGTTATTGGAAATTCTGTAACTTTTAAACAATCTTAATAATAAAATACATGTACATTATCCTTTTTTAGAATGATGAGTAAGTGGCATAGAATTATGAAAAACTCAGTCAAATATAATATTCGTGAAAACAATTCAGTATTAGATAAAGTTGTCAGATCAATTGATGAAGTCGTATATCTTCATCAGTCGAGGTGGTTGGGACAAGTGTTGCGTATGCCTAAATATCGATTGCCTTGACGAGCGATGTTTAGAGATGTAGAGTTAGGCTGGAAAAAAGCTAGGGGCGGTCAAACCAAAACATAGCACAAATCCATGAAGTCACTGACAACTGGATTGAGTCATGTAGACTACCTGGTTGGGGTCCGCGATATGATAGTAATCGATGGCTAGAGACCTTGGATGACATGGTTAAAAACCGTTTGCAGTGGCACAGGTACATCCATTCTTTGGCTTCTCTTAAATGTGGTGTGCCATTCGAGTATCTCATTCAGTGATAATATAAACTCGGTCACCCATTAGTCGCCGTATATAGTGCGACGATAAATAATATATTGAAGCTCCATTACATCACACGTTCTACTGGAGTAATACCAATTACTAAGCTGAAGAAGAATGAACGAAAACAAAAAGAACAATAAAATAGAATGATTTACTCACTTTTGGATATTCTTTACGTAAACTAGGCGTTAGAGCAAATACCAAGAATGCTCCAGAAACTACTATTCCAACTAAAAAGAATAGCCATTGTAATATACTAATCTGAATCGTCCACAGGATCTATAAATTGTTTGGAAAAATACAGCGCAAATAATCATGATAATAATAATAATAATAATAATAATAATAATAATATCTTATCATGCATTATACCTAATGACTCAATACTTCACAGGTAAAGCGATATTTCGCTCTATGGTCCAGTGGTTGAAGGTTGAGTAGCTACACCAGTGATTTACAGATGTAGCTCTAATTGGGGTGTGGTCAGAGTCTAACGACGTGCTCCAAGAAAAGAAGTCATGTATTACTGAAACCAGTAATGGTACTATTTGTTCACTGTAACACTGACGAGAACGTCAAAAAGAATACTGGCGCGACCTCTAATTTAGCGTATGAGAACGGCCATAGAAAGACGCTTAAATTATCGATTTGACAAAACTACTATGTATTCATCTAGTCAAAACCACTCCCTACGTATTCCAGTCGACGTTAGTCTGCTCTCAACAGCTTACAAACCGGTGATGTCTTCTCTGATCGCGCACGAGAAAAAGGATCCCACGGTAACCGAATCAAATCAGAGATTATAACATCTTCGCTATTCAACATAATGATTAGTTGTAGTGGAATTTAGGTGTTTTTAGACTAGACACCGGATGTGATTTTATCTTCGAGACATGTATTCGACAATGAAAACAAGAATACTTTGATGGACAGCGCTAGTTTCCCACAAGTTAGGCATTAAACATCCATAGTTTGCTAACATCACGATATTATAATTAACTTGCTCTAACTATCTGGAATATAAATAAATACAGCTCATTATGCGATAAGCAAATCAAACTTTCAGAAGTGATGCCTATGTTGATACCGAACAAGTGGTCCTACTAAACGTTTGAAATACGGGATTATGACTCTACCTAACCAAAAATACGTAGTTCTCAAGAGACAGAAAGATCTAAAAACAAGACATGCTGGATTGTTGGGCAAACTTTTCAATCTACTACAACATACGGTGCACAGAAAATTTTGAACAACATGGTTTACAGTGAATCTTAGTAAAAATTTGTTTATCGTAATTCAATTATTATTATTATTATTATTATTATTATTATTATTATTATTAAGTAGACAGTTTATTAGAAGATAAAACTTAAGACAGATACCAATACATCAATGAATCAGTGAAATTAATTGAAGCATAACCATTTTGAAGCACAACCTGACAAGTAGTTGTTTATACATGAGCTTTTATATAGAATTAATAGAATTATTACTCTGAATTTATAAGTCTGTGATTATGGGTGAAAATAAGAATTACAGACTTCAGAGATTCTGTCTCGTAAACGGTTGCATAATGAAAAACAATATAAAATTGATTTCGACTACAAATTTCTGCCTATTCAAAGTAATGACTTGTTGTACAAACTGTTGTGATTTACAGTTTCAATATTTGAATAGATGATGTTCTGAACATAGAACCGGAATGAATGTGATTAGATGTTAAACAACTAGTGCATACAGATACATGGACAATAATAGCAAAGAAGAGATTTTTGTATGAGAGCATACATGTCCGACGAAAAGAAAAGTGACGAAGAAGAAGAAAAAGAAGAACATTATGGTACAAACAATATTTTACAAGATAGAATAACCAAAAGCAATAAAATATCAATTACAGGGTGCCGTCATGTAATATGTGGATATGCCAAAATCACAATTAAATGGTGCGGTACCCCCCCCCTAATACAAGCATCTGATCAGGCGTAAATGATCAATTGAATGTTAAGGTCTCTCAATATATAGATTTTAACACAGTAACGTTCACTGCGTTTATTATGAGTAGTATCAATGAAAATTCTTAGCATAAGTAAATGTCAAGAAATATGCTTTACAAAAACAAACTAAAACAGTATACAGTATCAACAAGGAAGTAATTTACAACTAATAAAATCGCTAATCTAATCAAAATAACTCACTGCAATAGGAACAAACACTGCTAATGAATAACCATAGGTCGACAGGACATCGAAGAATTTGCTAGCATTTTTCGCACTGCGAAGTGATGATGACGATGATGTTGAATCAGTATCTGAACGCTCCAATAGGTCGGTAAGATCACTTTCAGAGTCATTCGACTGGGATTTCTTGTTTTTACGATGAAAGTGCATAATTGCATGCAATAGTAAAGGTGCTAGCCACCAGTAAGCATAAATGATGGTCGATGTCAACGTAACTACAAAAACATAAAGTGGATAACTAATACTTAACGAAACTGAAAAGTTCGAGTGATCGATTAGTTAAAAAAAGCAAACGATAGTACTGACACTAGTTGTTGTAAAATGGAAGATTTATTTTGTAACATCGCTATTACAGAAAAATGAACTACTAATTGGAAAGTGGTGCTCTTTGGATCAAAAAACTCATCTCTCAACGAGTATATTTCATTTCCGAACCCCGTCTCACCTACCTCAATTTTGACATCACTAATTCTCACATGAAAAGAGTGTGACTCGAAGTCAAATACTTGGTATGTGATTAACACTAATGAGTTCAGGAAACAAAGGATTGTGAATTCATTTTAATTAAGGATACTATAGAAAAGTTTGATAATAGTAGACCTATAGAATTATGAAAGCCGAAGCAATAATTCACCAGATAGAAAAATTTACGTATGCGAAATTTAGACGAATGATAGACGCCAGTGCGCTACTAATAGGAATCAACTGACCATTCTAGATAAGTTGGAGAAAGAAACGTATAAAGCTCCTACATATGGTTTTATAAATAACGTTGGAGAATGATTATTAGAGGTAAAAAAATAAAAACTACTTCTAATAAATCATTTGAATTCGAGACGTTTCTTCACTGTTGTCAGTCAGTCAGTAAGTGCAACGTAGAACTTCGTACGTCAGTTCATGTTGCCATACCACATTAGCACAGAGATGTAATTGTCAATTCAAATCCAATAGTAGAAGAGGTAGTAAAGGTATTAGAAGAAATCGGAGAGGTTAGGATTAGAAGATATTATTCAAGAAGTATGATTCAGTGAGATAAGTTTAGAAAGTCAAAACTAGAAGGGTTGAAGAATCCAGAAGATTAGGATTTGAGAGAACAAAAAGAATAAATGCACTGGCGCCATTGCAAACGGTTTTGAGCCATGTCATTCAGGGTATCTAACCATCGATTATTATCATCTCGAGGACCCCAACCAGGTAGTGAACAATTGCCGATATGGATCAGTCCACTTGTCAGTGACTTCATGGATTTCTGCCTTGTTTTGGTCTGGCCGCCCCTAACTTTCTTCCGACCTACTCCTAAACTACAAAACAAAGCTCGTCGAGGCAGTCGGTGGTTAGCCATACGCAGAACATGTCCCAACCACATCAACTGATAAAGTTCCATTACTTCATCTACTGATCTGCCATACTTACCTAGCACCCGTTTCCTAATAACAGCGTTGCAATGCTTCGAAGACACCTATGATCGAAAACAAGTAGCCTACGAATATCTACTCTAACTGGCCATGTTTCACAGCCATAAAGTAGGACGGAGCGAACTAGTGCACAGTACACGCGCCCTTTGGTTAGCGAACGGAAATCTCGCCTACGCCATAAGTGACGCAGGTTGGCAAAAGCCAATCGAGCCTTCTGCATACGAGCTGAGATTTCGTCAGTCACCAGGCAATCAGAGCTGATGAGACTCTCCAGATACGTGAAGTGATCAACACGCTCGACTACTTCACTCCCTATCACTAGTTCAGGTGCCGATGCAACCCAGTCTTGAAACAACATTTTGCATTTCGAGGGGGAAAACCGCATCCCGAACATGCTTGAATTGTTGCTTAGGGTAGTCAGAAGACTCTGCATTTTGTCAGCATCTTCACCAAATAGAACTATGTCATCGGCATATTCTAAGTCAGCAAGCAATTTTCCTGGTAGAAGGTCAACCCTTGAAAAATCTGACGAGGATGTCTACGACAAAGTTGAACAAGAATGGAGAGAGTGGACAGCCCTGACGGACACCACTTGATGTACAGAATTCAGATGACAGTTCGCCATATGCTCTCACCCAACCAGTAGTTTTAGAGCAGAGAACACCTTTCAATGACAGACTGCCACAGAACCTCACGATCCACAGAGTGAAATGCAGCCTTGAAGTCCAGGAAAACAACTACTGTAGGACGCATAAATGTATGTCTGTGTTCCAGGACCTGTCTTAGTGTGAAGATGTGGTTTATACAGCCACTTCTAGGTCTGAAACCAATCTGGTTTTCTCTAGTCTGCTCTTCACCAGCTTTCGTTAAGCGTCAAAGTATTATTGAGGCCAATATTTTAGATACTATATTAATACTTACTTACTTTAGCCTGTTACCCCCAATGGTGCATAGGCCGCCCACCAGTTCTCTCCAACCAACTCTGTCCTGGGCCTACTTCTCCAGTTCTGTCCAACGTTTGTTCATTCCTCTCATATCTTTCCCTACTTTTCGGCGTAGTGTGTTCCTTGGCCTTCCTCTTCTCCTTTTGCCTTGACGATTCCATGTGAGGACTTGTCTCGTGACGCAGTTAGGTGCTTTTCGTAGTGTGTGTCCTAGCCACTTCAACCGCTTCTTCCTCATTTCCTCCTCCACTGGATTCTGGTTTGTTCTCTCCCACAGTAGGTTGTTGCTGATGGTGTCTGGCCAACGAATCCGAAGTATTTTGCGTAGACGACTGTTAATAAACACTTGTATCTTCTGGATGATGGCTTTCGTAGTTATCCAAGTTTCCGCTCCATACAGTAGAACTGTCTTGACATTTGTATTGAAAATCCTGATTTTGGTTTTGTTTGAAAGTTGTTTGGAGTTCCAGATATTTTTCAACTGTAGAAATGCAGCCCTTGCTTTGCCAATCCGCGCCCTCACATCTGCATCCGATCCACCTTGATTGTCGATTATGCTGCCCAGATATGTAAAGGTGTTAACGTCCTCGAAAGCATCTCCATCAAGAGTGATTCGGTTGGTGCATGTTGTGTTGCATCGGAGAATTTCGCTTTTTCCTTTATGTATGTTGAGACCTACTGCTGCAGAGGCTGCTGCTACACTGGTCGTCTTCTCTTGCATTTGTTGTTGCGTGTGCGATAGAAGATCCAGATCACCTGCGAAGTCCAGATCGTCCAGCTGCGTCCTAACTGTCCAGTTGATACCGTGCTCCCCTCCAGATGATGACGTCTTCATAATCCAGTCGATGACCAGGAGAAAGAGAAATGGTGAGAGTAAGCAAACTTGCCTGACACCGGTCTTCACCTCGAAAGAGTTTGTTAGCTGTCCTTCGTGTACGATTTTGCAGTTGAGTCCAGCATAAGAATTCCGTATGATGTTGACTATTTTCTCAGGCACACCGTAGTGTCAAAGAAGCCTCCACAGTGTTTTCCTATCCACGCTATCAAATGCTTTCTCGTAGTCGATGAAGTTGATGTAGAGTGGTGAGTTCCATTCAATTGATTGTTCCACAATGATCCGTAATGTAGCAATTTGGTCAGTACACGATCGATCCTTACGAAATCCGGCCTGTTGATCTCGAAGTTGGGCGTCTACGAAGTCCTTCATTCTGTTTAACAATACCCTGTGGAAGACTTTGCCTGGTATTGAGAGAAGAGTGATGCCTCTGTAGTTCTCACACTTGCTGAGATCGCCTTTCTTTGGTATTTTGATCAGGTATCCTTCTTTCCAACCTGATGGTACTTGTTCCTCATCACAAATCTTCTTGAAGAGGATGTGAAATATTTTCGCAGTTGCTTCTACATCTGCTTTCATTGCCTCTGCTGGAATGTTGTATGGTCCTGCTGCTTTGCCGCTCTTGATTTGTCTGATGGCCAAACTGATCTCCTCAATTGTAGGTGCGCCAATATTAATTGGGAGGTCCGTGGATGCTGCTTCGATGTTGGTGGGTTCGGTGGGGCTGGTCGATTCAGGAGTTCCTTAAAGTGCTCTACCCACCTATTTCGCTGTTGTTCAGTGTTGCTGATTACTTTGCCTTCCTTGCTTTTCACTGGTCGTTCTGGTTTACGGTAGTTTCCGGCCAGCTTCTTTGTTGTTTCGTACAATTGTCTCATGTTTCCTTCTCTTGCAGCCTTTTCCGCCGTCATTGCTAGATAATCCACATATTTTCGTTTGTCAGCTCTGATGCTCTTCTTCACTTCCCTGTTCGCTTCTGTGTATGCAGCTTGTGCGGTAACTTTCTCTGCTCTTGTTCGGCTGACATTGATTGCTGCCTTCTTGTTCCTCCTTTCTTCAATTTTTGCAAGAGTATCAACAGACATCCAATCCTTGTGGTCGTACTTCTTGTGACCCAGAACTTCGTGACATGTTGAAGTGATTGCCTCCTTAATCCCTTTCCAATTGTTCTCTAATGTTGCTTCCTCTCCATTGAGTATATCCTGCAAGGCCTCAAACCTATTGGTGAGGGCTATCCTGAATTCGTTGATTTTTACGGTATCCCGAAGAAAGGCTGTATTAAACTTCTGTGATGTTGTCTGCCCTGTTGTCCAGTGTTTCTTGAGTTTCAGTTTCATTTTAGCGACCAGCAAGTGGTGATCTGAGTCTATATCAGTTCCTCTCTTGGTTTTCACATCCTCAATGGTCCTTCTGAACGTTTTGTTGATACAGATATGGTCAATTTGGTTTTGAGTAGTGTGATCCGGTGAAATCCATGTGGCTTTGTGTATGCGTTTGTGTGGGAATATTGTGCCACCGATGACCAGTTTGTTGAAGGCACATAGGTTTGCAAATCTCTCACCGTTTTCGTTTCTTTCTCCTAGTCCATGTCGTCCCATGATGTCTTCATATCCAGTGTTGTCCATGCCAACCTCGGCATTTAGGTCTCCCATCAGAATGGTCAAGTCTTTTGGTGAGCATCTGTCGACGATTGACCGCAGCCTTTCGTAGAATTGATCTTTAACGTCGTCATTGTAGTCATTGGTTGGCTTTATTCTAGCCTTATGGTCAACCTTACTAGCAGATAACACTGCTGTTCCCACAGCCTTTCTCATATCATTCCAACCTGCTTCCGGATACGAATCGCTAACATGGTTGTCTAATTCTCCTTCTAGTTGCTCATGAAATATATTCCTAGCTTTATTATCATTAAGTAAAACCCTAAGTGGCTTCCTTACGGTGTCTTTCCTACGTCAAGTAAGCCTCAAACATATACGAGCTCGCAGTAGGGCATGATCTGAATCTAAACATGTTCCCCAGCGACAGTCCTCTATCGAACCCCTCCATCGGTGGCTGATGGCAATGTGATCTTGTTGGGTCCAACGTTGAGATGACTTCGGGGGTGGCCAGGTCAACAGATGTTTTTCTTTATGCCTAAAGTTAGTGTTTGCTAGAAATACGCGGTTATCTGAGCATACTTGCAACAGACGGTCGCCATTGTCTGTTCTCTGAGCCGCGACACCATAACATCTACCTAGGTATCTTTCCTGCTCACTTAGTCTACCTACTTGAGCATTAAAGTCACCAGCCATTAATACTACATCACAGCGCCTAGCTTTTTGGAGGAGGTCCGAAAGCTTTCTGTAAAACTCATCTTTCACCTCGTCTGAACTGCAGTCACTGGGGGCGTAGGCTGATACGACAAAGAGGCAACGACGAGTGTCCCTATCCTTCCGAGTACTTACTGTCCCGTTTAGTCGGGCGGCTCACGAGCGACTATCAACAGGGATCCAGTCAAGGAGAGATAGTTCTGCCCTACGACTCAATGCTATACCTACACCAGCGAGACCCCTAGAAGCAGCATCAGGGCTACCGGATACACGAAGAGTAAATCGAGCTGCTTCTTTGTTTTGGTAAGGTGAAATCAAATTAATGATTTTACTAGGATCCTGTATGCGCGTTTCCGAGACGCAGCATATATCGATGGCACGAGATTCTAAAGTCCTAGCTGACGAAGCCTGTTGCTTTATTTGACACAATGTCCGTACATTAAATGCTCCAACATGTAGTCTAGAACGGGGTTTCAAGAGACCAGGAGTGACGTTTCGTGAACTCGCTTCGTTTGCATTAGCGGTGCAGTCAGATAAGGGAATGTGAGTAGAGTTAGTTGTGGAGAGAAGAGAAGTATGTGTGGGTGTAGGAAGGATTTGATTTCGACCAATTTGGTCTCGTGTGCTGTTACGGGTATGAGGGCGGTTGTCACTTCCCGTATGCCCACACCGTGGAAGATTGTTACTTGAGGGACCTGAAAAAGAAGACAGAGTAGTGTCGGTTTTATAGACCTGGGAGCGTGATCGCAGAGCCCAAGGGACAACTGCTTGAAGCCGGTCACGCACGGCCTTTTTATGAAAGGTTTTTTGAGTGTTAGCTCTGCTGTTGAAAGCCCTTAGTGGGCACCCTTGTGGTGCGAGCTACTTATAAGTAGTATATGACGTGAGCGTCAACGTAATGTCTGGCAGCCGAAGATGGGGGAAGATCAAGAAAGGAAGAGTTAGAAAACAATGGAATTTGTATGAAACGCATGAATAGTGACAACGGATTGATGTTTTGCAACAGGAACAGTCCAGTTCGATATGATGAACTGATATTTTGCAAATTAACGATTTACGATATGGTTTTCCGATTTTACTGGGTAACTCTGTAATTTTCGTTAAATACAATTCGGTTGCCCCACCTGTGTTCTCCTTCACTACACCCTTACCGACGGAGACGGAAATCCGTGAGGTAGGGTGAGGTGTGACATTTTTGGGGTGGATCTTTCTTAACCTTTCCTTCCTTGTGAGAAGTCAGCATCGCTGCAGATGCTGCCTTTTTAAATAGCTGCAGTACACATTAAGGTGCTGAACAAAATACTTGCTTAACACAACCTTTTTCTAAACAATGTAACTAGGATACTCTTAGAACCAATGACCAGCTGTTTGCTTCTAAAATTAACCAATTTCAAAAAACTACATTGAATACAATTGTAAAATGAAACACACCTTTCTGAAAATCATAATGCCATGAAGACACCTCACCACGTGACTGAAAATAGTTAGATACGTTTCCGCCGATTGCAGCAGTTAACATTAACGTAGTTGCAATCCAAAATGGACCGTAGAGATCAGCACGTGGTTTTAGAGAATGCTGAATGAAATTCGTACGTGGATTAGGTACTAATGCAGAAGCAAGGCGATGCAGAACCTGCAAAATAATATAAGTAGCTGGAATAAAGGTTTCATTGACAAGAGTGGAATCATAAGCAGCACTAAAATAAAGAATAAAAATTACTTTAACTTTTAAATAACAAATTCACGGTTTGTTTTAACACACAAAAAACAGAGATTCTAAGAAATGTACCATATTTCACAGCGTTGTATTGGATGGTAAACAATTAGGTACAAAGGCAAACGGGAAATCGATGCATGTCAAGCCTGAGACATGGCACATTTACATAACTTCTCATTCTGTATGATGTAATACAACACTGAGTTAGTGAATATAATTGCTTGCATACTTAAAATGCTGTAATGATTGGGGCTTATAAATTTGCTACATATTCAAATTATCTTGGACTTCTATATATTGTCTATCATAAATGAGCATCAATGATTCTTATTTATGAGCTCTGTCTTTAAGTTAAAAAAACTTGCCTAAATACTAATTCACATGAATATGTAAGCAAAATCGCACGTATTAGTACTTACCTGACTTGTATCAACGTCAAAATATTGTTGGTAAAACTTAAAAGTGAAAAGACCCATGTTGGAATCTGCCTTTTGACTTTCAGTGTTAGTCTAAAAAAGAACTCACGTAAAATAGGCTTTTTACCTCATGCTCCAAGGTCCCGTGAAGTTCTTGGTCCCCTTGATCCTCAAAACTCCCAGAAAGTGGTATCCGAACATAATCACCATTAGGCGCCGACATAATGAAGTTTAAAATTGATGACCGGAATAATGGATTGTAGAAATGAGACTTTCTCTGTAACTGATCGGATGATCACAACAACTAACCTATAATCTACAAAAGAGAAGATTCTATCTTAATCAGCTGACAAGCTGAGTAACAACTAATTGGGTCGTACTGCCAAATATTAGACGTACAACAGATTTGGCTAATAAGTTATTGCCATGACAAACGACTATTACTGGCTGGCCGAATGACTGACAATAGTAGAGAAGACGGGAAGTCAAAAATGGACAGACAAAAGAAAAAGTGATGGCATAGAATAACAGCACGTTCAAAACAGGAAACAAATATGCAGACAAAATCCCTTAAGGATAAGAGTAGGAATAGAAGTGGAGATCTGTGAGTAAGAATAACTTTGGGTCGTCTCAAATCGTCTGCTATTGTTTACGGCGATTCACACTACTAATCAATATCCCATTTACTTACGGTGTACATTCATGTGGTAAACCATAAATTTTCTTATATTCACCTTTTGTTTAATCACCATAAAGCAATGTAGTTGGCAGTGGCTATTTATGATATATAGTTTGAAATAAGTGACTCCAAATTACATTAAGGTTGTACGGTTATGCTTGCAGATCAATACAAATTTGGATATTCAATCAGAACCAATAGGCTTCTGAGACGCATAGACACGGTAAATGACAATCGTTTGTGAGCTACTAAGCTAAATAATATATTTTTTATAGACAAGCTATTAACTGTTTCTTGATTCCTAAATGAATAAACATTCAACCAATACTAGCGACTGAGAGTCAGAAAACTAGATCCGTATTACCGATACTAGAAGCCAATGTTCTGTAAGTTCGAACAATATCGGTACTGGTAACAACGATTGTAGTATGTGCAGCAATCATTCGTGCCAAAACCTGAAATTTCAAAGCCACAAGATTGTTTCAAACTTACTCGAGGCTAATCACCCAACCTACTTTATTTATTATACTACCATCTGAAACCAAGATGCTAGTTCCTCTGGTACGCGTTGACTTCAATGGTAAGATGTGAACTTTTACAAAGGAAGCCCATCGATATTCATCCAACTTAACTATGATTGAGCGATAAAGATTGGAGATACTTTGATGATTGGAGTACAGCAGACTGTGATAAGGTATAAAATAACAAGTAATCAAGTAAGCTAATAAAAACTCTCGACCGATACTATCGGTCTGTTAAACGATGTTTAAAAAAGCATCCGGAAGCTTTTGATGCTTAAGTTTTGTTTCAGACATTTCAAAAACTAATCTAATCACTTTTGTAGTTCCAATAAAACGATATTAGGTCGATGTGGTGACGAACTTAAAAGATTTAACAACTCCGCGAAATACGCCCACAGATTCAGGGTCAACCGTTCAACATTTATCTATTATGTTCAATTATGAGAAGATCCTCATAGTATATTTTTCAGTAATATTTATTTTCTCCAAAGACGAGTTCTTCAGCTGGATTGATTGAGCGAAATTCTAATGTGAGTTGCCCCTTCACTCATTCTAAGAAAGGGTAAGTTCGTACTAAGTGAGTGCCATAGTTAATCCTTGTATGAGGTGCTGCGGGTTTTCGAGAATTCATGATATGATGATTAATTACAATCAAAAGCGTCTACAGGTGACTAGTGACTTGAATTCATTATTCGAATCCGTCTGACGTAAATAGAATGTAACTTACGAAACATCCTCACTTAAATAGATTTAAAGCACTGTAACATATGAAACTAGTTTGTAGTTATTATAATGCAGTTTGTATAGGATTTCAGCTCATAATTCAAGATCTAATCCTTTTTAACTTTGAACATCTCATAACATATATATCTTTATTATGATCTTTCATAAACATATTAATTTCCTCGCACAAGCTTCAAGTGGCTATTTTGTGTCACCAACAACGTGATGATACACAACGCAGTCAAGTTGATGCATGTCCACTTCGTCTACAGTTTTCATCAAACAACAACTATGAGAGTACTCAACTAGTTCTTTTTTATCTATAGCCCCAAAATGCCTTGGTAATAGTAAAAGTGGTGGAATTCGGGGTGGTCATTCAAATATAATCACTATCTTCTCGTTGTAAGTGTTGTTTGAGGGGTAGAGAGGATGAAAAGTGCTTTACCCGGGTATGCGAGTACGGAGGAGAGCTTTAAAACCTAGACTACATACCAACGGTGTACTTTGACCCCGGGAAACTAATGTAACATATGGCCTATCAACCTTCTGCTGACACTGCATTCCATTTCAAACAGATTAGGCCAGTATGTTAGTAGTTCAAATGATGACCCACCGAGAATACCACCTGTTTGGGTGTACGCGCATTACCCTAGCCCACTCATGAATTTACCGGATTTCGTAGCGCATAAATGTTGAGGTGCACCATTTGTGCCGATGTTTATGTGTTTAATTAATTGAAAAGTAAGAATATACAGCTGCGGGTAAACAGTGCCACAAATTACTGCAATTAAAACTTGCATATCATTTGCTGATAAGAATGGTAGCAGCTAAGTAGTTTAGACAATTCGTAAACATAAGCATAATACTTAATGGTGCAACATTTTTGAAAGCCATCCCCTCAATGAGCGTATCTTTCAACCAAGTTGAAAGTTCTTACTCCACGCTTAAGCTAGCTGTAATTCCGAATCTAGGAATCGGGCTCGTAAATTAGAGTAGTTGGACCAATCGATTAGTAGCTCAGGATCAGCTACGTATTTTACTTACTAAAAATGGTTGCATCTATCTATATCACCAGGATAGCATGGCTTTACCTCCTACCAGACATATATATACTTAGTACTTGTTGTTGGTAAAGACTAGCAGATTACAGCACTTATAATTTTATTTCAGTTCGTGATTAGATTATCCAAGTTAGAATTAAGAATGCAAACGATCTGATCAAATATTCTCGGCTGGGCCCTTCCGATGTGTCAGGTTTTTGAGACTCGTAAGTACGTGAGTCATGGATTTATCAACATTCTTTAGCCGAACATTCGTGGAATTCGAATGACCGATCCCTTCATGACGAAACAGTAACGGAAGACCGAATTTAAATTCAAACAAGAATTTCACGATCGATGACAGTGGTCGTAAAAATGAAGTGGAGTTACGAAAGATGTGAAAAACAATAACCCTCTTATGGGATGGATTCAAAAATAGACGTGATGAACACATACCAATATGCTGATTATCATCTCCCTCTTGAACTAGCTGTGCCTGATCCATGTCTCGAAACTCGCTAGTTTTTATTACTGCCATTTCCTGAAATCGCTAACTTAATCTACCTCGCTTATTATTTCCGTTTCCTCTCCCTTGCTTACATTTTGGTCCTCTTGCACAATCCCTATTAGTACTCACATACTGAAAGTGTGGCTGCATCAAACTGTTACTGATAGTAATATGGTGTAAATGTGTTATCAGAAACAGACTCTTATACTCAGTCTAACTACAATAACTTTTGCAGTAAATATGTTAGCATTTATAACAGTTTGATCTATCCTGTAAACTGGCATGCCCCTTGTAACATACTCTTATTATTATAACCAATTCCTGACAAATACAGATGCAGCTTAACTTGGCGCGACTATCCACCACCAGTTGTACACTGTAACGCATAATCTTCGTCAAATATTGCGTTGTACATTCCAGTCTCTCAAACACTAGTTGCGATTTCACTCGGAAAATATCAACCCTCTATAGTAATGACCAGCGTTTCATGTAAAATATCGATCCAACTGAGCAACCTATTACAGTAAATATGGTAGCATTAGTAGCAATTAGGTGCTGCCTGTAAACTGAAAAGTCTCATGTGACCCATTGGAATTTGTGAATAGATTTTATTATTATCATCAATGGAATAATGATACATGAAGTGAATTCATTTGATTATATTCGTACAGTAATTTTCTAACACCTTAGTACGGAGAAATGTAATTCAGATTTAGATTAATTTTCGCGTATCTGAAATCAAAGCCTTGACAGTGACACAGGACGAGACACTAACTACAAAAACAGCAGTAAATATGAGGAGATCAATTTCACAGAATAAAACATTCGAACGACTGAAGACTTATGGTATCCACTCATCAGTTTAACTGTCAACGTTCAAATCACTCGAAGCTAAAGTACAATAACCTGATAACAAATATATAAATATATATGATTCGTAATGCTTTTTATCGTAACGCGACGACATCAGCCATGGTGAAAACGTTAGATACCCCAATATTCACCTATTACTTACTTACTTACGCCTGTTACCCCTAATGGAACATAGGCCGACCACCAGTTTTCTCCAACCAACTCTGTCCTGGGCTTCCTTCCCCAGTTCTGTCCAATGTTTGTTCATTCCTCTCATATCTTTCTCTATTTCTCGGCGTATTAGGTTCCTTGGCCTTCCTCTTCTCCTTTTGCCTTGACGATTCCATGTGAGGACTTGTCTCGTGACGCAGTTAGGTGCTTTTCGTAGTGTGTGTCCTAGCCACTTCAACCGCTTCTTCCTCATTTCCTCATCCACTGGAATATGGTTTGTTCTCTCCCACAGTACGTTGTTGCTGTTGATGTCTGGCCAACGAATCCGAAGTATTTTGCCTAGACAACTGTTAACAAACACTTGTATCTTCTGGATGATGGCTTTAGTAGTTCTCCAAGTTTCCGCTCCATACAGTAGAAATGTCTTCACATTTGCATTGAAAATCCTGATTTTGGTGTTGATTGATATCTGTTTGGAGTTCCAGATATTTTTCAATTGTAGAAATTCAGCCCTCGCTTTGCCAATCCGCGCCCTCACATCTGCATCCGATCCACCTTGATTGTCGATTATGCTGCCAAGATATGTAAAGGTGTTAACG